TGCACAGCTAGCTGATCCTCTATGTTGGTCTGGTCGCAGCCAGTCCTTGCAGCTGATTAGTCTGGGGGTAAATCCCTCCCATCGGCATGCCAACAGCAATCAAGGCTCAACTACAGCCGAAACCGGTTTGGCTCAGTGGATAGAGCGTCAGCCTGCGGACTGAAGGGTCCCAGGTTTGATTCTGGTCAAGGGCATGTGCCTTGGTTGCGGGCACACCCCCAGTAGGGGGCGTGCAAGAGGCAGCTGACTGGTGACTCGCTCTCAACAATGTTTCTAACTCTCTATTTCTCTCCCTTCCTCTCTGTAAAAAATAAATAAAATGTTTTGTTTTGTTTTTTTAAAAGGCTCAGCCAAAACCGGTTTGGCTCAGTGGACAGAGCGTCGGTCTGCGGATTGAAAGGTCCCGGGTTCGATTCCGGTCAAGGGCATTTGCCTTGGTTGCGAGCACATCCCCAGTGGGAGGTATGCAGGAGGCAGCTGATCGATGTTTCTCTCTCATCGATGTTTCTAAATCTCTATCCCTCTCCCTTCCTCTCTGTAAAAAAATCAATAAAATATATATTAAAAAAAAAAGGCTCAGTCACATTCACGTTGCTGCTCACAATAAATAAATAAAATTTTAAAAAGGCTCAACTACTGCCGGGACCGGTTTGGCTCAATGGATAGAGTGTCGGCTTGGGGACTGAAGGGTCCCGGGTTGGATTCCGGTCAAGGGCATGTGGTTGCGGGCATATCCCCAGTAGGGGGTGTGCAAGAGGCAGCTGATCGATGACTCTCTCTCATCGATGTTTCTGACTCTCTATCTCTCCCTTCCTCTCTGTACAAAATCAATAAAATATATATTTTTTAAAAAGGCTCAACTACAAAAGGAGGGTATACATAGTCCACCCAGAAAGGGGGGGGAGGGGTGGCACACAGTGGCACACATAGAGCACCCAGCTCAGGTGAAGAGGGAGGTTATGTCACTGGACCTGATAGGACACTTACTACATTAGGCCACTCTGCCAAGCCCAGGAGACATAGCTGCTCTACCTAATACATAGAAACAAGGAGCCTGACAAAATAGGGAGACAAAGAAACGTGCCCCAAAAGGAAGAACAAGCCAAAAACTCCAAAAAAAAGATCTAAACAAAATGAAGACAAGCAATCTACTACATGCAGAGTTCAAAACCCTGGTTATAAGTATGCTCAATGAACTCAATGGAACCTCAGCAGCATAAAAAAGGACATGGAGCTGAAACCGGTTTGGCTCAGTGGATAGAGCACCAGTCTGCAGATTGAAAGGTCCCAGGTTCGATTCCAATCAGGGGCATGTACCTTGGTTGTGGGCACATCCCTGGTGTGGGGTGTGCAGGAGGCAGCTGGTCGATGTCTCTCTCTCATCAATGTTTCTGGCTCTATATCTCTCTCCTCTCCCTTCCTCTCTGTAAAAAATCAATAAAATATATTTTTAAAAGGGGGGGGGGCATGGAAACCCTAAAAAGAACCAATCAGAAATGAAGGATGCGCTTACTAAAACGAATAATTTATGAGGAACCAATAGTAGAGTTGATGACGCCAAGAGTCAAACCAGGGATTTGGAATACAAGGAAGCATAATAGGGACCCAATAGGAACAGCAAAAAGAAAAAAAGAAAAAAACAAAACAGAACACGAAAATAGTGTAAGGAGCCTCTGGGACAATTTCAAGTGTGGCAACATTCACAGCATAGAAGGCCAGGAAGAGAAGAAAGAAAGCCAAACATTGAAAGCCTATTTGGAAAAAAATGACAGAAAACTTCCTTAACATGGTCAGGGAAATAGACATACAAGTCCCAGAAGTGCAGCGTCCCAAAAAAGGAACCCAAAGAGGCTCACACCAAACCACATTATAACTAAAATGTAAGAGATTAAAGAGGAAAAAAAGAACCTTAAAAGAAGCCAGGGAGTTTCCTTAAAATAAGACTGTCAGCTGATTTCTCAACAGGAACTTAGCAGGCCAGAAGGGACTGGCAAAAACAAAACAAAAAAATTATATATATATATATATATATATATATATATATATATATGTTCGAATTAATGAGAAACAAGGACCTACAATCAAGATTACTCTTCCTAACAAAACTACTGTTTCACAGAAAATAATTATATTATTTTATATTAATTTTTGCTCCCAAAGATGCGCTAGGTCTTATTTTCAGGGGATGTCTTATTTTTCCATGAAGAAGAATACGGTACACATTTATTGTTAAATGAAAATAAAGGAAATTTATTACCTGTATATGGTACGGTAGTACGGTAGCTGTCAACACAAACCAGACAAACTGTGAATCCTACAGGATCAAGAATTTACTCATTTAGCCGAAGCCGGTTTGGCTCTGCGGTAGAGAGTCGGTCTGCGGACTGAAAGGTCCCAGGTTCGATTTCGGTCAAGGGCATGTACCTTGGTTGCCGGCACATCCCCGATAGGGGGTGTGCAAGAGGCAGCTGGTCGATGTTTCTCTCTCATCGACGTTTCTAGCTCTCTATCTCTCCCCTTTCTCTCTGTTAAAAATCAATAAAATATATTTTTTTTAAAAGAATTTACTCATTTATTCAATGACAATCATGTCATCATCTTCTGGAACATCATCATAACAATCCAATTCCTGAATTTCCTGGTGAATTTCTTGTGACTCCATTTCTTTCAGAATCAGTGGACCAAATCTCTCATGGTTAGCCTAGGGGGGCCTTATTTTCGGGGGGATGTCTTATATTTCACTCAGAAGGAAACCTGTAAGTAGGTCTTATTTTCATGGAAACACGGCATCATCTAGAATGGAAGGACATATAAAGAACTTTCCAGACAAAAAAAGCTAAAGGAATTCATCACCGCCAAACCAGAATTACATGTTAAAGGGTCTTCTTTAAGAAGAAGAAGAAAAATAAATTAAACGTATGAACAATAAAATGCCAATAAATACATATTTATCAAAATTGAATCCAAAGATCAAAATAGACGAACAAGTAGAACAGAAACATTCATAGGTACAGAGACATTTTGATGGTTACTAAATAGGAGGAGGGTCAGGAAGGTGGGTGGAAAATATGAAGGGATTAAGAAGTACAAATTGAGGGGGAAAGAGACATGTAATACTTTAAACAATAAAAAAAAAATTTTTAAGGAAGTACAAATGGACAGTTACAAAATAGTCATGCGGAAGTGAAGTACAACATAGGGCATACAATCAGTTATATCTTAATGACTAGATATGTTGTCATACGGGCACAGGATATATTGGGCTGATTACTTAGTAAGTTACATAATGTCTCCCTGGGGTGTACTCCTGACACTAATATAGTAATGTATGTGAACTGCAATTGAAAAATAAAAAAATTATTTTTAAAAAGGAGATTAGCCGAAACCAGTTTGGCTCAGTGGATAGGGCATCGGCCTTCATACTGAAAGATCCCAGGTTCGATTCCGGTCAAGGGCATGTGCCTTGGTTGCAGGCATATCCCCCGTGGGGGGTGTGCAGGAGGCAGCTGATGGATGATTCTCTCTCATCGATGTTTCTAGCTCTCTGTCCCTCTTTCATCCTCTCTGTAAAAAAAATCAATAAAATATATATAATTTTTTTTTTAAAAAAAGGAATTAAAGTGGCCCAGATGTCACCCTTGGGGAATTTACAGTGTAGCTGGGAACTTGTATTCCGGGAAGTCGGAAAAGAGAAGCACATTGCTTCCTCCCTGGGAAGGGGATGCATCAGGGAGGGCTCGCTGGAGAGAGTGTCATGTGAACAAGGTGTCGAAGGAGAGTTTCGCTGATTAAGAAGAGCATGGACACGGAGTCCAGTGAACATGGGATCTGGTCTCGGCTCTGTCATTCCCTTGCAGTGTGGCCTTGGGCAAATGATATGCCCTCCCTGGACCTCAGCTTCTCACACGAAGCCTTCCCCCCGCCCTCCTTGGTTGTTGTAAGAATGACCGGAAAGGAAAACGGTGGTTAACGTGCTGTTCTGGAGCAATGATGCTACACTCAGGTGCCACTGCTGTGTGACTTAAAGGATCTGAACAACCCAGGCGGCATGGCTGGGAGTCATCCCATGCACCAGGAGGTTGTTGGTTCGATTCCTTGGTCAGGGCACATGCCAGGTTGTGGGCTCAATCACTAGGAGGGGATGTGCAGGAGGCAGCTGGTCGATGATTCACTCTCACATCGATGTTTCTTTCTCTTTCTGTCTCTCTCTTCCTCTAAAAATCAATTTTAAAAATCTTTAAATACCTTTTAAATATATTTTATTGTTGTTTTTGTGTGTTTTTTTTAAAGAGAGGAAGGGAGCAGAAACCGGTTTGGCTCAGTGGATAGAGCGTCGGCCTGCGGACTGAAAGGTCCCGGATTCGATTCCGGTCAAGGGCACATCCCCAGTAGGGGGTGTGCAAGAGGGAGCTGATCCATGATTCTCTCTCATAGATATTTCTAACTCTCTATCCCTCTCTCTTCCTCTCTGTAAAATATCAATAAAATATATTTAAAAAAAAAAAAAAAAAAAAAAGGAAGGGAGAGGGATATCAAGTTAGAAACATTGATGAGAGAGAAACATTGACCAGTTACCTCCTGCACACCCCCTACTGGGTATGTGCCTGCAATCAAGATACAGGCCAGAATCGAACCTGGGACCCTTTAGTCTGCAGGCTGACGCTCTATCCACTGAGCCAAACCAGTTAGGGCAAGATATATATATATATATATATATATATATATATATATATATATATATATACACACACACACACACATACATACCGGTGTGTGTGTGTGTGTGTGTGTGTGTATGTGTGTGTATACTGGGGTGTGTGTGTGTATAGTGGGGTGTGTGTGTGTGTGTATATATATATATATATATAGTTGTTTTTTTTAAAGGAACGTTTGTGAATAAAGGGATAAATGACCATAGCATTGAACCTCTGACTCCCCCTCTGCCTGAAGCCAGTTCCGTGACGTGGGATCGCAGGACACCCACCGGTTTTCCCTGCAACCTACACGGCCACCTCGGAGACCAGGTCGTGGCTGGTGGATTTCTTGCTGGCGGCGCTCTCCTCCTGGCTCCGGGGCCCCTGCAGGGCCCAGCGGCACGCGGCGGGCAGCGAGCGGCAGAGCCGGGCCCGCCCGAAGTACAGGAAAAGCGCGGGGTTGAGGCAGCTGTGGGCCAGGGCCAGGCCCGCCACCAGCGGCTCCGCCCACAGGGCCCGGGCCAGCAGCCGGGAGCCCGGGGCGGCCCCGGCGAGCACCAGCCCCAGCAGGTGGTAGGGGGCCCAGCACACGAAGAAGCCCGCCACCACGGCGGTGCCCAGCGGCCAGCGGCGGGGGGCCGCGCGGCACAGCAGGGCGCCGTGGCAGCCGGCCACCACCACCAGCGGCCCCAGGAAGCCGAACAGGAACCGGGCGGCGGCCACGGCGCCCTCGGCCAGCGCCGAGCCGCCGTAGTCCACCACGCACTCCAGCCGGGCCGGGTAGTGCTCCCGGTGCAGCCGGCGGTAGACGGCCGAGGGCAGGGTCAGCAGCAGGGCCAGGGCCCAGGCCGCCCCGCAGGCCAGGCGCACCCGGCGGGCCCGGCGATCGGGCGCCCCGCCGGCCGGCCGGAGGGCCAGGAGGCAGAGGTCGGCGCTGAGGGCCGCCAGCAGCAGCACGCTGGTGAACATGGACAGCAGGATGGCCGAGGGCAGCGCCCGGCAGCCCAGGGCCCCGTAGGGCCACGCGCCGCCCAGCGCCACGGGCACCGCCAGGACCGGCAGGGACAGGCAGCAGAGCAGGTCGGCCGCGGCCAGATGGAGGAACCAGGTGGCCCCGGCCCGCCGCCGGGCCTCTCTGTGGCTCGCCCAGGCCACCATGGCGTTGCCCGGCACCCCGGCCAGGAAGACCACGGCGTAGAGCAGGAGGGGGGCCACGCGGAGGGGCCCGATGGCCTGGCAGGCGCCGTCGGCGCAGTCCACGGGGACGTCCGAGGCCTCCGAGTCGTAGTGGTCGTAATCGTAGTCGCCGCCCACAGATGCGTTCTCCATCCAGACGCCTGGCGCCCGGCGGGAGACAGAAGCCAGGGAACCTCGGTCAGGGCCACGCTCCCGCCCTGGGAATCCTCCAGTGTGGGAACCCGGCCCAGCGGGATCTTGGGAACTAGGCGATGAGCCCTGGCTGGTGTGGCTCAGCGGACAGAGCACGGGCCTGCGGACCGAAGGGTCCCGGGTTTGATTCCGGTCAAGGGCATGTACCCGGAGGCTCCTTCCCGGCCCAGGTCCAGATTAGGGCGCGCACAGTGGGGGCAACCCGTCGATGTGTTTCTCTCACATCGATGTTTCTCTCTGTCTTTCCCTCTCTCTTCCGCCCTCTCTAAAAGTCAGTGTAAAAATATTCCCCGAATAAGGACTTTTAAAAATGTTTTATTATTATTTTTTTTTTACAGAGAGAGGGATAGAGAGCTAGAAACATCGATGAGAGAGAAACATCGACCAGCTGCCTCCTGCACACCCCCTACTGGAGATGTGCCCGCAACCAAGGTACATGCCCTTGACTGGAATCGAACCTGGGACCTTTCAGTCCGCAGACCGATGCTCTACCACTGAGCCAAACCGGTTTTGGCCAGAACAAGGATTTAAAAAAAAAAAAAGAAAGAAAGAAAGAAACAAGGATAAGACAATGTTGGGAAGCCGGTGTGTCTGAATACTGGGCTTCTAGCGATCCCAGGGAACTAGCTCGTTAGCATTTGGAATTGTAGAATACGCCAACCTAGAACCCCAGCCTGTCAGAATCCTGGGACTGTAGAATGCAAGGTCAGAGCAGTGGCCGGGGAGCATTCTGGAAATTCTAAAACAAGGCAGTGTTAGACTCTCTGCTTAGGAACATCTAGGAACTCGGGAATATTAGAATGTCAGAACACGATCGTGATTGAAAAAACACACACACACAAAAAAAAACTTGGAATTCTGCCCTAGCTGGTTTAGCTCAGTGGATAGAGCATCGGCCTGGGGACTGAAGGGTCCTGGTTCCATTCTGGTCCAGGGGACATGCCTGAGTTGCAGGCTCGTACCCTAGTAAGGGATGTGCAGGAGGCAGCCGATCAATGATTCCCTCTCATCATTGATGTTTCTGTCTCTCTCCCTGCCTCTCTGAAAACAATAAAAATATATTTAAAAAAAAAAAAAAGAAAGAAAGAAAGAAAAAAGATCTTGGAATTCTGAAACTCGACACCACTGGAGCCGTGGCCAGTGGTTACTCGGGATCGTGGCACTGCGCTGTCCTGGGGAACTCTCACGCTGGCGGAAATGTTCCGTGTCTGTGCTGTCCGCCGCGGCAGCTGCCAGCACAGGGCCACTGAGCAATGGAGACCGGGCCCCGGCCACCATGGCTCAGTTGGCTGAGCATCGTCCTGAGCACCAAAAGGTCACCAGTTCAATTCCCAGTCAGGGCACAAACCTGGGTGGTGGGCTCAATGCCAGCAGGGAGCCTGCAGGGGGCAGCCGATCGACATTTCTTCTCTCCCTCTCCCTCTCGTGTCCTCTCTCAAATGAACAAAAACATATTTAAAAAGAAATAGGGCCATGGAGACTGAGGAAGTAAAAATTTTACCCCATTTAAATTGATGTAAATAGCTACCCCCGGCGAGTGGCTTACCTTATCGGACCATCAAGTTCTAGCTCGTTAACTTGTCAGAACACCCGCCTATCAGCCACATGGAATTCTGGGATTTAAAAATACCGGAACCTGAGAGGGAACCAATTGAGAGGGAAAGGTTAATATGTATTCAGAGCAAAAGTGTTTGACTTGGTTCCTCTTCGCCTGTATTTTCAAGTCTGAGTGCAATGGAAATGTACCTCTAGTGCAATTTTCCCTTCTGTTTGCTCATTTGTTTTTGTTAATCTTCACCTGAGGATATTATTTCCATTGATTTTTAGAGAGTGTGTGTGTGTGTGTGTGTGTGTGTGTGTGTGTGAGAGAGAGAGAGAGAGAGAGAGAGAGAAACATCGATCAATTGCCTCCCACACGTGCCCCAACCAGGGATCAAACGCGAAACCTAGGTATGTGCCCTGACTGGGATCAAACCTGCAACCTTTCAGTGTCCAGGAGGATGCTCCAATCACTGAGCCACCCAGCCAGCGGCCCCCCTCACCGCCCTCCCCCGTTTGTTTGTTTTTTTTTTGTTTATTTGTTTTTTAACATAAATGAGATCCTAGGAAAACATGCAGACAGCAAAGGCACACCTCACACAGGGACCCTCTCTGGGTTTCCCAACCCGAGCACACCTGGGTAGCCGGCAGCCATGTCGAGAAACAGATGTTTCTAGAATCCCACCGGGGCAATGTTACAAAGTAATGATAGCGTTGGGTAAGCAGGGAAACAACATTGAATTCTCTATAATTCATTCATTCATTCATCCATCCATTTATTCAATACAACTTTCTCCATTGTCATCACTGGACACCCAGCAAGGGACAGACAGACAGAAACCCCATTTCCCTTGGGTCTGCCACTCTAGTGAGAGGACTCAGGGGGAAAAAATAAGCAAAATACTAAGTATTTCCAAAGGTGACAAACGCTATGGCGAGAGAGAGAGAGAGAGAGAGAGAGAGAGAGAGAGAGAGAGAGATCACAAGGAATTTTTAATTCCCTCTGTTGGCATTTTGAACGAGTGGTCAGGGAGGGCTTCTCGGAGGAGGTGACATCTGAGCGAAGCCATACAGGAGGTGAGAGGGCGCTGGGTGGGGGTTTCAGGGAGACTTCGAGGTGGAAGAAACCAATAGTTCAGGGGCCCTGAGGGAGGAACGTGATCACAGCCACGTGCAGGGAACATCAGCATGGCCCACAGGGCAGATGAGGAGATTAAGGGAAAGTCAGAACAGAGAGCTATCAGGGGCCACGTGGGCGGTTTCCGACCTTATCTTTTATTCCATGTGAGCTGGGCGGGCCCTGAGCAGAGAAGCGACACCATCTATCACAGCAATAATAATCATGGTTGTTGCTGGGACCAGTTTGGCTCAATGGATAGAGTGTAGGCTTGGGGACTGAAGGGCCCCGGGTTCGATTCCAGTCAAGGGCATGTACCTTGGTTGCGGGCACATCCCCAGTAGGGGGTGTGCAAGAGGCAGCTGATCGATGATTCTCTCATTGATATTTCTAACTATCTCCCTTCCTCTCTGTACAAAAATCAATAAAATATATATTTTTAAAATGTGGCTCTCAAAAAAAATAATAATTATGGTTGTTGCTATGGTTATTAATATTGTTCTTAGGAGCCATTATCTACTGCACACTTTGTGTTATGTGCTGGGCATTGCTCCAAGCACCGTTACACATCAAATTGTTTAATCTTTATAACAACCCTCTGGGTTTTTAAAAAATATATCTTATTGTTTTGTTTTTTTTTAGAGAGGAAGGGAGAGAGATAGAAACATCAAAGAGAGAGAAACATCGATCATCTGCCTCCTGCACACCCCCCACTGGGGATGTGCCCCCAACCAAGGTACATGCCCTTGACCGGAATCGAACCTGGGACCCTTCAGTCTGCAGGCCGACCCTCTATCCACTGAGCCCAACTGGTTAGGGCCAACCCTCTAGTTTTTTCTTTTGTGTGTGTGTGTTTTTTTTAATGTATTTTATTGATTTTTACAGAGAGGAAGAGAGAGGGATAGAGAGCTAGAAACATCAATGAGAGAGAAACATCGATCAGCTGCCTCCTACACATGCCCACTGGGGATGTGCCCTCAACCAAGGTACATGCCCTTGACCAGAATCGAACCTGGGACCCTTCAGTCCGCAGGCCGACGCTCTATCCACTGAGCCAAACCGGTGAGGGCCAGCCCTCTGGTTTTAATGCCACCGTTATACCCATTCTGCAGATGAGGAGACTGAGGCACAGAGAGTTAAGTAGCTTACCTAAGATGGCTCAGCTAAGCAAGAAGCAGAGTTGAGTTTCAAACCGTGTTAGCCCCACACTGGTACTCCTGGCCCTAGAGTATCATCATCCCAAAGCCTTAGACTCGGGAGGGCTACAGGCAGGACAGCCAGTGGCCGCGAGCAGATGGGGCTCTGTGACTCGGTGGTTTCGGTTCGTCTGAGGAATGAGAGGCACCCCGGTGAACCTGCCTCACCGGTTTGGGGAGGCCTCGGGGAGTTACCGTGTGAGAGACATGTGGCACAGAGCAAAAACTGGGGTAACTGGGGGAGCTGGGGGATTCCTCGGGGGGCCTGACTCTGAGGCTCGCTGCTGACCCGGGGCTGGCCAGCTGGTGCTGCCCAGAGTTCCCCTCAGGGCTGCCAAAACAGGAAAGGTGGAGGGGAAGTTGGGGCGCCCCCCCCCCCCGGTTCCCTCCCGCCTGCAAAAGCGAAGGAGAAGCTGAGCAGCCGCTGAGAGGCCCAGCCCTTTGAAGTTGGAGTGTGCTGGAAGAAGGGCACGCTATTCCCGTATTTCCAACCTGGAGTGACCCCGTGTGAGCTTTCAAAACCCAAACCCTTGGAGCCCCGGCCAGGGCCAGGAGGTGAGAGGTCTCCCCGGCGCACCCCGGCTGCGGGGTGACCCAGTCAGGCACAGATAAGAAACAGCCAATGAGGGCATCAACGGGGAACCGCCCTGGCTGGTTTGGCTCAGTGGATAGAGCGTCGGTAGATGGGTTGAAAGGTCCCGGGTTCGATTCCAGTCAAGGGCACATGCCCGGGTTGCAGATCCCCAGTAGGGGGTGTGCAGGAGGCAGCCGATCAGTGATTCTCTCTCACCATTCATGTTTCTCTCTCTCCCTCTCCCTTTCTCTCTGAAATCAATTATATATATATATATATATATATATATATATATATATATATTTTTTTTTTTTTTTTTTTTTTTTAAATAAGTGGAACAGCAAAGCAATCTCTCTCTCTCTCTTTCTCTCTCTCTATTTATGTTCATCCTCACCTGAGGATATTTTTCCTATTGATTTCTGGAGAGAGTGGAAGGGAGGCAGGGGAGAGAGAGAGAGAGAGAGAGAGAGAGAGAGAGAGAGAGAGAGAGAGAGAGGAGAGAGCACATCCTAGA